AAGCAGACCTGGATTAAACTCATTCAGATGTAAACATGATTTATCGGAAACCATTTATTTATTTTCTGTGCAGGGATGTGCCGTTGAGTGACATGGTGTTGCAGTGGTTAGCACTGTTGCCTCATAGCAGGAAGATTCTGGATGTGAACCTTGTGGCCCATGGGGCCCTTTCTGTGTAGAGCTTGCATGTTATCTCCATGCCTGCGTGGGTTTCTATGGTTCTCCAGCTTGCTCCTACAGTCCTAAGACATACAAGATTTCACTGGTAACTAAGTTGCCAGTAGGTGTGAATGGTTGTCTAGATTAGTCAGCCCTGTGATAGATTGGAAACCTGTCCAGTTTGCCCCACTTCTTGGCTAGTACCTATTGGATGGAATGGTTTTATAAAGGAAAAGTTGAAGTTATAGGCAGACCATTGATCACCGACGTGCAAATCTGGGTAGACAAAGATTCAGCCATTGCAGAGCTGTCTCTCATGTTCAGTACCTGCCAGTTTCTCACTACTTTTATCCAGTGTTTCCAAGTCTCATCTGTGAGAATACACTGCACTCTAGTGGTCAAATTTATTTGTTTATGTAATTTCCTACATAAACAGTATTTTCAACAATCCCAATACAGAGAGTAAAAACAAGACATTTTTGCCTCTAGTCAATGTTTATATATGTTAGTCTTTCTGTCCTGAATTAGTTTAATAGTCTGTGCCATAGACCTCTTTGGTAAGACAATTAAAACACCCTGCTAAACATGTTCATATGTTTCATTGTTCCAGCACTGACAGGTGATCCAGCTGTGGAGCGGTCCTTAGTAAATGATAATCACTGGAGATGTCATCTGTAGGTCACTGAGTTTCATTTCTCATAAATCTGATCCTTTTCCTGCTCTTTATACTTTCTCAGCTGTACATAGAAAAGATAAAGACACAAGGGACAGAAATGGATGAGTGCCAGAATGCTGAACTCCACCAAGTCCTTTCTCACTTTATTTTTTTTTTTTGATGACATGCACACAATGATACCAAACTCACCACCGTTGTGTTTACATGCAGCCCTTTGCTCTAAAACCATGTACAACTAAAACTTATTCAACAGCCATTACTTTATATAGTGACGAAATTGAGCCAAGTATATTTGCAGCTTAAACGCATCAAGCGCTGATTTTCACACAAACCAGAATTATTAATTATGAGAGGCAATAAAAAGCAAAGAAAAGCATGTAGGTTATATAAACATGCCTGCTGCTGTAGAAGCCAAGATGGCTACAGTCGTAGCTCATCCAGTAGCTGCCCTAGCTACAAGATGGCCACTGTGACTATTACCATTTTACTTGCAATCTTCTGTCTCAAAATAAGCATAAGCATAAACTTTATTGCCAGTATTTCAAGAACACAAGGAATTGAACTCAATGCCCCCACAATGTGCACAACATAAAAACTAAATAAATACACAATATTGTGGCGACCGCTGATGTTCATGTGTTCTGTTGTGTGCAAATGGGTTTGACATTGTTGTTGAAAGCTGTGCATGTATTGGTTACCGCTGTTTTCGGCAAAATGCCGCGCTGTTCTGGCCAATGTGGGATGGGGGGAGGAACAGGTGCGGGAGG